AGCACTCAATCCACTGAGCCACACCAGCCAAGGCTGTCCTCTCATTTTCTTAATATTTTTGAAACAGCAATATTTTTGTTTTTGACAAAGTCCAGTGTATCAATTTTTTCATGTGTTATATCTGAGAATCTTTGCTCAACCCAAGGTCACAAGTATTTTCTCTTCTGTTTTATCCAAGAAGCTTTATAGGTTTATTTCTTACTGAGTTAATTTTGTGTAGTTCTGTACCTGTGCAGATGGGAGGTTGGACAGGGACTTGAGCTATATTGGATTATGTTGGATATAATTTTTATGGGGTCACATTTAAGGTCTCTGCTTCCTGGCTTCTGTTCTCTCTCACACACGGACAGAACTTCCTCTTTCCTTTCGAGAATGCCCACCTATGTTTTCTTCCTGCATTTTACTGTAGCTCTTTGATCAACCTGGAATATGTATTTTTTTTAATTTTTACTTATTGATTTGAGAGAGGAAGAGAGGAAAGGAGAGAGAGAAATATCGACTTGTTGTTCCACTTGTCAGTATTCATTGGCTAACTTTCGTATGTGTCCTTTACTAAGAACTGAACCCCAAAGGTTGGCACGGCGAGACGACACTCTAACCAACTGAGCCACCTGCTCAGGGCCTGTAATATATTTTGGTGGGAGGTACAGATCTCACTGCCTCCCCCCAAACACTCACCTGTTTCCCAGGTACCCTCCCCCCTGTTGGTTAGAAATGCCACCACTGTCACCCCAATGTGCGAGGTTCACTTCGGTTCACAGACAGGTCTTTTCTCATGCTGGATGGTGCTCACGCCCTCTGCAGCTTCAGTCACATCAACTCCGGCAGGCCTCGGGTTTCCATACTGGTCTCCTCCTCCGTTTAGCATTCCGGATGCACTCACAATGATTTTGTCCAGATCCAGAAGTCCTATGGCATTTTGACTGCATGGAGTTTGTGTTGGTTCGTGAAGGACTGCTGGACTTTAAAGAAGGGATTCACAGCATCATCCTGAGTCTGTGCCACCCTGCCCCAACCTGCCACTTTCACTGACTGTGCTGGGAATTAACTTAATGTTTGTATTTTTCAAAGTTCAAATATGGAGCTTTAAAAAGACGGTTCTTTTTGGCCTTTGTATTCCTGATGTCTAATTCTATTGCACTGTAGTCAGAGTATGTGATCTTTATGCTATCGCTTCCTCATAAATTCTAAGAATTTCCCTTGTGGCTTACTGCATTTTTTTGTAAATATTTCCTATGATCTTGAAAATAATATGTATCTTATTAACTTTGTCTAGATTTTATCAAGGTTACATAACTTGACTGTTGAGAGAGAAAGAGAGGAAAGGAACAACAATATCAACTTGTTGTTCCACTTATGTCAGTATTCATTGGTTGAACTCTCCTGCTGTAATAGTGGATTTATCAATTTTTGCCTTTTTTTTGGTAGTATCTTCTTGGTTGCCCCCTTTTCTCAGTGCAAACTCTCCATCTCCTAGCCTTAAATGCCCTTTTGTCTGATGTTGATATTTCCCAATTTGCCATCTTTAGGCTGCTATTTTTGGCAACATGCCCCATCCTTTTCATCTTCAACCTGTGACTGTCAGAGGGCTGTGGCCTGTGTCTGTCTCTGGACAGTCCCCACCCAAGAGGCTGCAGCCGTGCTAGGAGAATCCAGTCACATTCCACGTCACCACTGCTAGGTCTGGATTAATTTCTAACACTGTCCTTTGGGTTTTCTTGCCTTTTTAAGAATCTTATCCTGATTATTCATCAAATTATTTTTAATTTTTTCCTTCTGCTGACGTGGAAGTTATATTTTTACTCTTTCAGCAGTTACCCTTAAGTGTGAATACCCAATACAGTATCAGAATCCTCTTCCTGCTCCCTGGCATATGGCCTAGTGTATCAGCTACACCCTGTTCATAAAACCCATCCCTCCAAAAGGTTTATCACGACAAAAATTAAAAACCCAATACGCATCTACATACCAACGTATTTTACTGCTGTTCCTTCACATCATTTCTTCAACCAACAACTGCTGAGTTCAGTTTCTTTTTGTGTTGTAGACTTTCTAGTAGTTTCCAGTGAGAACTAAAGAGGTAAATGTCTCAGAGCTATTGTTTACCTAAAAATACATTTATTTTGCCAAGTCTTTTTAAAATGTATTTTATTGATTATGCTATTACAGTTGTCCCGTTTCCCCCCTTTATTCCCTCCTGCCCTGCACACCCCCCTCTGACTCGCATTCCCTGCCTCCTTAGTTCATGTCCATGGGTCATACATGTTAAGTTCTTTGGCTTCTCCATTTTCCATACTAGTCTTAACCTCCCTCTTTTTTGTACCTACCACTTACGCTTCTTAGTCCCTGTATCTTTTACCCCCTTCTCCCTGCCTTCTGCTGATAACCCTCCATATGATCTCTATTTCTGTGAATCTGTTCCTGTTCTATTATTTGCTTAGTTCATTTTCATTTTTATTTTCATTTCTTTAGATTCTGTTGTTGATAGTTGTGATTTTGTTGTCACTTTACTGTTCATATTTTTTGTCTTCTTTTTCTTAGATAAGTCCCTTTAACATTTCATATAATAAGGGCTTGGTGATGATGAACTCCTTTAACTAGACCTTCTCTGGGAAATACTCCATCTGCCCTACCATTGTAAATGAAAGCTTTGCTGGATAGATCAATCTTGGATGTAGGTCCTTGCCTTTCATGACTTGGAATACTTCTTTCCAGCCCCTTCTTGCCTGAAAGTTTTCTTTTGAGAAATCAGCTGACAGTCTTATGGGAACTACTTTGTAGGTAACAATCTCCTTTTCTCTTGCTGCATTTAAGATTCTCCCCTTATCTTTAATCTTGGGTCATGTAATTATGATGTGCCTTGGTGTGTGCTTCTTTGGGTCCATCTTCTTGGGGACTCTCTGAGCTTCCTGGACTTCCTGGAAGTCTATTTTCTTTGCCAGATTGGGGAAATTCTCCTTATTTTTTCAAATAAGCTTTAATTTCCTCCTCCTATTCTCCTGGCACCCCTATGATTTAGATGTTGGAATTTTTAAAGTTGCCCTGGAGGTTCCTATCTCTCTCCTCATGTTTTGGAATTCTTGTTTCTTCATTCTTTTCTGGTTGAATGTTTATTTGTTTCCTCCTGGTCCAAATCATTCATCTGAGTCCTGGTTTTTTTCCTGTCACAGTTAGTTCCCTGTAGCTTTTCCTTTATTTCATTTTTCATAGCCTTCAATTTTTCCTCTTTTGTGACCATACTCAACCATTTCTGTGAACATCCTGATTACCAGCGTTTTGAACTCTGCATCTGGTATGTTAGCTGTCTCCTTGTTGCTTAGTTGTATTTTTTTCTGGAGCTTTGCTCTGTTCTTTCATTGGGGCCATTTTTTTTGTCTTGGTGTGCCTGTTCATAGTAAAAGGTGGAACCTTAGGTATTTGCCAGGCAGGGACAACCCATTTTGCTGCATTGTGGCACTGTATGTGGGGGGAGGGGTTCGAGAAGAAACAATGCCTCTTGTTCGGCTCTCTGCTGGTTTTCTGTCACTTCCACTGCTATCCACAAGCAAATTGGGCCCTTCTGGTGCTGATTCCCAGGTGGGTGGGTCTGTGTCCATTCTAGGACCATGTGGGTCTCTCCAATGAACTCTCCTGTGAGGCTGGGAGTTTCTCCCTCCACCACGACCCTCACAGATTGTTTTCAGACAGAGGTTTTGAGGCTTTATTTCTTCACTCTGGAAGCCTGGGTTGTGTGGTCTGTCTCGCTCCCCAGTTGTTCCTCCTGGTTTATCCGCATGGAAACGTGGAACTGCTAGGTCTGGCAGCCAACGCCCACCAGGTCCTCCAGATGCTGCCTTGCCTAAAGCCCTCTCCACCCAGCTCTCCATCTCCACCTCTCCTACAGGTCTGGATGAATATTTCTTCTTTAACTCCTTGTCTGTCAGACTTCCATACAGTTTTACTTTGTCAGTTCTGGTTATTTTCTGTCTTTAAATTTGTTGCTGTTCTTCTTTTGGTTGTGCAGGGAGGCAAGACTGAAAGTTCCCAGCAAAGTGAGCTATTTTGTCAATGGTCTTGAATGATAGATTAGCTATAGAGAATTGTAATCTGAAAATCCATTTCCCTCATCACTGAAAAAGTGATTTCTCATGTCTGCTATTATCCTGATCGTCCTAATTCTATAGTCTTTTAAATTTAGTAGCTTTAATTTTTTTTCCCTGTTTTCCTCCTACTGTAACATTTGTATCTGGTTTAGCATGTTTTTATTTTCCTAGAGCTGAGTTCAGTTTGAAGGCACAGCTGGTCAACTCTGTAAAAGCTCTCTGCTCTTCTCTGAATTTACTTTGTCCCGTTCAGTGCAGTCAAGCTTCTTCCTATCTCCTCTCTCAACTTCCTGTCCATAGTTTCCCATTTCTCTGCTTCATACTTAAATCTACCTTCTAATTTACTTTTTCACTTGTATTTATCATTGTTGATTAAATTTTAACTATAGTAACTATTTTTTAGAAGCTATTTAGCTCCTCTTTTTCTCTAACATTTACAGTTTTAGGTTACTGAACCATCAGTCCTACTGGGCCACACTGTTTGCAGCTGCTGGCTTACTCTTAGCTTGCCTGGTTTATTAAAACTAAGCAAGTTCTGGGTTTAGGAAGTGCAAGGCACATCTGTGCTTGCTCCTGTCCAGTGCTGCAAGCACTGGGGTCAACAGGCCCTGGACTACTTTTCACCTTTATTTCTTGCCTAACTTTCATAACTGTGTTCAGGTATCAACACCCTCCTTGAAAGGGCCTCCGCAAGCCATACTGCCCTTTCCCTGCCTTAGCTGACCCTGCTGCACCAGGATGCACTCCTCACTCACTCCTCTAAAATTCGCCCACCTCCGGAGGCCGGACTCCCACCTGAATACACCAGGGTCACAGCTCAGGCCCTCTCTGTGGCCTGGGCAGTAAAGCTGAGGGTGCGCTGGCCCAGGGATGGCACGGCAGCTCGCACCCTCACCGGCTGACTTCCGTATTTTCCAGGCTCGTTTACGTTGCAGGCCGGGAAGGCCACATGCTTAAAGTGCTCTCCTACATCAGCGTCAAGCGCCTGACTCCAGCCCCTGCCATCATCTTTTATGTGAGTAGAAATTCCACCATGAGTGCACCCCCTGACAGGCACAAATGACCCATGCTCTCTTAATCCTTGACCTGAAACAAATGTATTAAAGAAGCCTGAGACAATTCAAACAATTTACCTAACCTCTGCTCCTTGTTCTGAATATACCTGTGAGATACTGTTCACACATGTTCCAAGTGTGTCCCCTCTAAACGTCTTACATGTGTGCCCTGGGTCCCTGTAACAAAGCACAAAGTTACAGGGAAGAAGACCAAGGTGTTTTATAAGTTGGCACTGGCAACAGTTTCTCATTACGGTCCAATAACTTAGAAGTTGTGGGACCCCGGTGCAGTGATGGTCCTTTGACATCTTCTAACTGGAGCCTCCCAGGAGGGGGGTAGTCCTCGGTTGTGTGCGACTGTCCTGGGTGCCCCCAGACCACCCACCGAGCCTCAGGGCCAGACCCCTCCTCCTGCCACCACAGATGAGAGCCACCATCCTCTGTCCACGCACTCCCTTTGAAGATGAGGAAACAGACCCAGCATTACAAGGCCCTACAATAACAAGGTGCAGATAATGTAGGTCAAGACCATGCCCAACGGCCTCAGCTCCATAGCCTAGGGCCCCTTCCCAGGATGAACAGTCTCTGGGAGGAAAATTCATAATTAGGAAGCTGGTGCAATGCACATGCATTTACACCACCCGCCTCCCCATGCTCCCCCCAACACTTAAAAAATGCAGCTTGAGAGTCACAAATTTTCCAAGCCGTTTCCATCAGACTCAAAGAGAACACCCGTCACAGCCAGTCTGCCTCAACCCCAAGGACAGTGGGACGCAGTTCTCCTTCATGCTCGTGTTCGCCCACAAGGACAACAGCTTCTTCCATCTTCTAGTGTGATCGGGATGGCGTCTGCATGTACCAGTGGCCTAAGAATTTATTCTTTTTTCTAGGGTATCATCGCCACTATTTATATTATCCCTGGTGATATAAACTCGTTGGTCAACTACTTCAGTTTCGCTGCGTGGTTATTTTATGGCTTGACTTCCCTGGCACTGATCCTGATGAGGTTCACGAGGAAAGACCTGGAAAGGCCGATCAAGGTGGGTCTGCTGCCCCAAACACCGTGCGTGCCTTCGATTTCTTGAAATGAGTTGGAGGCAACTGTTTAAAATTCTAGGGGTGCGCTGTCTCCAAGTGACTCTTCTCTGGAATATCATGTTGTAGAGTGGAGTTTGCTCTTCATTTCCTATAGTTTATGATCCCAGCGGCCATCCAATTATTTATTTACTGAGGTGTCACGAACGCCTGTGACCTGCCTCTCTGACCTGAGTGAGATGACCAGTTCTGGCAGTCCTCGGACCTCTCAAGCATAACTTTTCATAGACTAATGGGGACCTCCGAGTTCTGGCCCCAGGCCCATCCCTGCACACATGACCACTCACACCTGCAACCTGCTCGGCCTCCCTGCCACCTCCCCTCGAGGCTCAGGGCGTGCGGACCTGGTGGACTGAGTGCCTCTCCTGCCCCTCACTGACTGACTCAGAAGTGGAACAATCATTTATTCATTCGGTACCCCTGGAAGTGGTAAAAAAGGAAAGGCCGGCTCCCACTACCAAGTGTTCCTGCCTCCAGATCGAACCACCCGCTTTCCCAGGGGGAAGGGGAGCGAGTTAGTGGGCGAAGCTAGAATGAAAACATTGTATAGGATAAATTCCTACCACGAATCCCCGACAAGAAAAGAAGGGTTAAAAACAAAGTCCTAATCGGTTAGATGTATACTGAGTACGTTTTAGGTAAAATAATATGAAGTCTGTCGTTTTCTCTGTATTCCAGGGAAATGGAAGAAAGGCAGATGGAGTAAGACTGGCACCGTTACTTCGATATCGCTGAAATGGGAGGGGGGTGCATGGGGTTATTAGTTCTCCTTTCTGGATCAGTGTTTTGGTTTTGAGTAAGAAATTTCCACCAGAAAACATGCGCACGACTCAGTCTGACCCCTTGCTGTCCCGCCCCCAGGTGCCCATCTTCATCCCCATCTTGGTGACTCTCGTGTCCGTGGTCTTGATCTTGGCCCCAATCATCAGTGAACCCGCGTGGGAGTACCTCTACTGTGCGATATTTATGCTGAGCGGCATTATATTTTACTTCCTTTTTGTCCACTACAAGTTTGGATGGGCTCAGAAAATCTCAAGTAAGTATCAACAGTGGGCTGGCTCTGCTCCTGGTGAAGCACAGACAGGCATCCCGCAGCCACACCTGCCCCCTCCTCCCGAGCCCGTGCCGGGATCCCAGGCCGCTAGCAAAGTACACTTCTGCTCTGTGAGGACACGTGACCCCTTACCCTCAGGGTGACGCCTCTGGGGTCCACCTATGGCCCCCTCCTGTTTCCTCAATCACTGTAACAAGCAGAAAGGGAGCGCACCATTTTTTAAAAATTGTGAAATACACATAAAATTCACCATCTTGGCCGTTTCTGAGTGCCCAGTTCCCTGGTGGTGAGTCCGCAGCCACTGCTGGGCACCCGTCGTCTGAGAGGCTCAGCAGCAGCCCGGGAACACCCGGGAAGTGACGGAGCTGTTTTGCACTCAGTAGTCCTGGTTCCTCACCTATTTTAAGACAATTGCTTAAAAATTTAGCTACACAGGCACTTTCTCTTTGAAAAAGCAAGCAGTGGTGCTGAGGTGCACGGAGGAGGCCACGCCACACCAGTGTGCATGGTGTTCACAAGGCGCGGCTCTGGAGGGCGGACGCCGCCAGCGCAGGGGCCTCCCAGACCCCGAGCACCTCGCCAGGCCAGCGGTGACCCGGGGCCTGCTTCCTGGTCTCCCTCGCTAACCATGAGTTTCTAGAAGGCAGGAATCGGGCTGGATCTCTACAACAGCCACTTAATATTAAATGTGATCCAAAGTCTTCCTCTCCCTTTCTCCTTCAGCTTGTCTGGGGCAGAAGTACAACCTCAGGCACTCCTGTGCCGTCACTCACACACTCCACGTAGGTAGGCACATGCTCTGCGAAAGCCACACCCGACGGGCAGGCAGTGGGGCTGCCCGAGACGTGACTGGGACGGAGCCGCACGACCGGGATGCCTTTCTCCAGCTCCAGCTGGTTTCAGGCTCTCGCTCAGCCTGCATTTCCTCCCCTAAGCAATCGATCAGGTACCACCACTTACCCAACGGTGCCGTTAGAGGCAACAGAGGGTCTGTTTCATGCTGATGAACCAAGTGGAACCCAATACAGACCCACGGCTCCATCCTCCATCGTTTCCACCCAGGGCTGTTCTGCTTTTACTGAAACAGCTCCCCCCGCCCCAGCCTCCTTCCTGTGACCTCGCCCTCGGCCAGGAGAGGGACTGCAGACACACTGCAGTGGAAAGGAAAGAATTATTACTGTAAGAAAAACAGCCATTTCCCCCCATGCTTCTGAAAAACAACTTGGATTTGATCAGACTGACAGAATCTAGCCAGGATGACTTAGAACTTAAAAGCAAAATATGTCTTCCCCCCTCACTATTCCTTTACTTTTTAATTAAATTTATTAGGCTGACATTGGTTGATAAATTTTTAAATCATGTAGGTTTTGGGTGTACAGTTCTGTGACCCACATCTGTGCACTGTAGTGTGTGTTCATCATTCCTTCCATCTCCATTCATCCCCCTGTACCTTCCTCTGCTCGCCATCAAATGTCTTACCTTGCAGCTTCAGAACATGTAGCCAGGTTGCTCCCCACAAGAACTGAGATGTTAGAATTAAGCAAGTGAACAGAATGAATAATCTGTGTTTTAACAAAACCACTGGAGCTGCTAGGAGGGTTCTGGCCACTTCCAACCACCGAGTCCTCCGAGAGGGGGTGAGCAGGACCCATGCGCGTAATGACCTCCCTGTCTGCCAGCAAGCATGGCAAAGCTGACCTCATCTGTTCCCTGGTTTCTGCTGCAGAGCCCATCACCATGCACCTTCAGATGCTGATGGAAGTCGTCCCACCCGAGGAAGCCCCAGAGTAACTTGGTCTCCTTAGCCAAGGCCCAGCTGTGATGAAGTTATTTTTGTAAGCCACATTTGTAGTTATTTCTTTCTGATGTTTTAAAGAAAAACTGTATTCAGATGTCTATAATACTGGTATTTTTAAATATTCTTAGTCCTCTGCATGGGGTTCTAGGTAGGAGAAGTGACAGGTGTTTGCTAAGTCAGCAGGCTGGGGGGGGCCGGAGTAAGACCTGCCACCGTCACAATGGCGACCCTTCAACCGGGAACACATCACACCTGCTTCAATAAAGGGCGTTCTTTAAACTCAGTGACCAAAAAGGTATCCATATGTTTTACAAAAAATTGGTGAAACTTTTGGTTTGATTGAAACAGATTTTTAAAATACCAAAGCACAAATGTTTACTACTTATCCCACCTTCTCCCAAGACTACTGCCGCCCCCTTGGTCGGCCTGGGACATGCCTGGCAGGTGAATCCCAGGCTGCACGCCAGGGCCCCAGCGCAGAGCCGAGCCCGGACCGTGAGGCGCAAGGCAGCCCGTGGTCAACACCACAGGCTCTTGGTGGCCCCCACTGGCACTGTGCGAAGAAATCACAGAGAATATAATGCTAGTCTGCATGGGGCATTCAGCAAAAATACTGTCTAAAAAATGTAAAAAGTAACATTTCTGAGGAAAAAGTGTAATTTTATTGATACACTTCAAAAGACATCACACAACTGTGAGTAATTTTAGAGGCATAAAGACAAAGTACATTTACCTTGCTTTTTAGAAGTTTCCCCAAAACATGGAATCAGCACATGTTAATAGAACAAAACCAATTCGTAACTGTTTACATGTCCCACCCAAGCCGGTGTCCTATGTCCTACAAAGCTTTATTTAGAGCTTCAAACAGCAAATGCAAACATCTGGCAAAGGCATGGAGATTAATTTAAGGCGCAGCCCTCCTCCCAGTCTAGTCATACAGCTGCTTGTGAACCACACGAGCGTGACCATTATGTCTGTTTTGGGAGCAGGGCCCTGGCACTGGCGCATGGGAAACACACATTTGTGCACCTCTTATTACTTACTAGTGTTATTTGCTGCGTTTTACAAAAGAGACTGATACAACTGAACAGAAACTGCAGGTGGCCAATGCCCACAGGTGAGCTAGCGGGGCTTGGAGGCTGGCCACCACCCCAGGGCCTCCCCCAGTGGAGCAAAGGCTGTATGTGCAGAAAGAGACCCCTCATGAGCACAGGAGGGGAGCGCCACAGTCAAACCCTTTGCCAGAGAACACACAGAGCTTCCTGTTTCCTGAAAAGCCTGCCTGACTTAGCAAAAAAAAAAAAAAAAAAAAAGGAAAATCACCACTATACTTCCTGTGCCAATTGGACACCTGCCAGTCCGTCCCTAGGCAGGGCAGCCACAAGGATGAGCTCTTGGCAGCAACAATTCAGGCTGCACACCACGTGCTCCCACCAGAGGGCAGCGTCTGACCTCATCCCTGAGCTCCTCCCCTGCCCTCCACCCCCTCAGACAGAACAAAGTCTCCTGCCCAGAGTGAGGTGGGGGGCTGGGGTGGTAGGAGGGTCACCTCCTGAAGATAAGCTGTGTGGTGAGCAGGTCTTATTTTACAGATGAGGAAACTGAGCCACAGTGTGATCGAAACCTGCTCATGGGACAGCCTGGTGACAAGAGTTTACCTCCCTTTCAAGCAGTGACTTACGCCTGGGACACCCATAATCTGACCATCTGTGCTTTCTGGCTATGAAAAGAATAAAGACGCTGGGGGCAAGATACAGCCGTCCTGTCCCAGCAGCGGGCTTTTCCGCTGCCAGACATGGCTGCCAGGAGCACGCACACTGAGGGTGTGCACAGCATGCACGCTTCCCGGCAACTCTCCTTTCTCCCTTTCCAATTAACGTGAACAGGCAGGCTCTGGGCGTTCCCGCATGTAAAGAGTGCCGGCACGACACTTCCCCCGATTACCTTGTGAGGCCGGGTGCCACAGCCCCTGAGTGGGGTCATGAATGTCTTGAGGGCTCATCACCTCCAGGTGTCCTGAGGGTTACCTGCAGGCACCCACAGGTCCTTTACAGTGTCCGTTAAAGGGAAACCTTTGTCCCACATACCCAGGACTCTGCAGGTACTGAGGGTTCTTCAGAAGCAGGAGCTTACCTCAGAAAGCCTTGGGTCTGCTGAGGCCACCCCCTTTTTAACCTTGGACTATCTTTATATGAAGTAAACATACCCAGAGCAGCTATTGACACCTTAATATTAGAGACAGTTACACTGAATTCCAACTAACTCGTAGGTGAAAGGTTGAAAGGATCCACTCAACACTGCTGAGCATGGGTTTGTAAGATGGAAACTTTGATTTCTATGCACAAGATGTTTTTAGGAATGTATTAGGTTGGCCCCAAAGTCCATTACATATTTTCCATAGATGGCTCTAGTACTGCTTAGTTGTCTTTAACTCCATTCACAACAACTTGGTTAGACTGTATTCTGACAGTTATACCAGCGCACATAAAAAAAAATCACAATCGGTGAATTTTTGTGCAGCCAATTTAATACTGAAGATGGAAGAAGATATGCACAATTTTAGCATATTATGCTTTATTATTTCAAAAAAGTTAAACACTTGACTGCAACACGAAAAAAAAAGATTTGTGCAGTGTATGGAGAAGGTGCTGTGACTGATCAAATGTGTCAGAAGTGGTTTATGAAGTTTCCTGGTACTGACATTTTGGCCAAATAATTTTTTGTTGTGGGGCTGTCTCATGTATTGGAAGATGTTTAGAAGCACCCCTGGCCTCTAGCCACCAGAAGCCAATAGCAGGAGACAGCCAACATGCTCGGAATATCTAAATCAATAAAGTCACTGGTAAAAATGAAAAAATGTGTCTTGTTTTATGGAAAAAACTAAATGGGCTTTTTGGCCAACCTGATACCAAACAGGGGTTTAAAGGAACAGAACAGACTAGCTGCAGACGGCCCGGTGCGCTGTCCGCCAGGGCTCTGCCGCTCCACTGCGGGGTGTCGGACGGACGGGCTGCCTGCGAGGGGCTGCACAACCCAGGGAAGCGGGCTCCTGTTAGACTACACTTTGTCTCTGCTCCCACCCTCCTTTCATGGTCTCATCTTCAGCCCATTTCTTTTAATTTTTATATTTTTATTGATTTGAGAGAGGGAGAAATATCAATTTGTTGTTCTACTCATTTATGCATTCATTGGTTGATTCTTGTATGTGCCGTGACCAGGGATCAAACTTGCAAACCTGACATACCAGGACAACGCTCTGATCAACTGAGCTACACAGAGTCTTTAGCCCATTTTTAAAATGATTCAGAATTTCTGACCATTACCAATCCCAGTGCCACAAGATGACACTTAGTGATAAAATATGACTGCTTGTTTTCTCAACCCTCCATCCACCACACGGCAGTACCCATTTCTTTTCACCGTCTTCCAGTCACACCTCAGGGTCTGATTCATAGTCTCATTCGCTCTCACTTTCGTCATCCTCCGAAGTTTGGTCACTGTCCTCAGTCACCTCTGCCACTTTGCAAGACAGGTTTTTAGTGTGTACAACTGAAAGAGAGATATTACAAACATATGTCAACTACAGACTAATTAGCACATCTTTTTCCCTCCCATTATTTGGTCAATGCGGAGAAAGTCTCTTGGGTTCTACCTCTATTTTGCATATCCATTATTTGGGCAAAAAGTGAGATGAAATTTGTCTGCTTAGAAATAAATTTTCCTGCTAGGAAAGGTAGCCCAGTAAAAGTGTCGTAAGAAGACACGTTTACAACGAAGCACTACCACCTCCTCGAGCCAGGACGTCTGGCACCGACACCGACCATAAGAAGAAAAGTAACTCCTCAGGGCTTTGCACGAACGAGCCATTTCCACTAACGCCACACTCCTATGTCGGCTGAGTGGTGACGGCCCCCATGGCATCGGGACCCACCGCCAGGCTGGTGCGCCCCCTTACCCTTGGAGAAGTGGCTCTCCTCTTCACATTCCTCCCAGTGGTCAAAATCAAAAGCCACATTAGGATTCTGTTCAATGGAACGGTTTACATTAAGTGAGAGAATAAAACATACTCAGGCTGTGAGGACTGGCCACAGGTCACTTCAACTTACCCTCTGTCTGAGTAGGCCGCGCCAGGGTTCCCTTCTCTCTTTCGCAAGGGTGATCACGGGTTCATCATTTTTAATTGCACACTTGCAATCATCTTTTATTATGTTGGCCTGCAGCTCCAAATCAGCCAAGTAAAACTTCTCTCCTACCCAGGCACTAGGTTCACAAAAAGATACAAAGCCAGTTTTAATTAAAAAATGTTAAGAATTATTTCTATTTTACTTTATAAATTTATAAAAACTTACCTGAAAATGACTCGATCTCTAAAATACTTGCATTTGTAATCTTTCACATTCCTTATCCGCATCTTCAGTATGACCATGTCGTCTTTTTGGAACCACTTTATCTGTGGGTGGAAGCTGGAGAACAAGAAAGAGGCTTATGTGCTCGCCACTCCTCACTCACGGGTGAGGGACGGAAGCAGACTGACTCTCCAGCAATGGGTGCACGTACCTTTTCAGGGGCTCTGTGGTTTTGTTAATGGAAGCATCTCCGGTGTTTTCAGGTGAAGTTTCTGAAGAAAAAGTCAAGTTTTCCTATAGATTATTTATATGGAACTCCACAATGTATACACATATATGTGCTTTTTTGCACTTTATGCAACTTTTAGCTGAGGAAGTACTCTCTAAGGGTATAAATTTCACAGTAACCCAAGTATACAGTTGTAAAGAATAATTATACAGTTGCAAGAACAGTTAGAAAAGGGGACTTCTGGCCATGATGGAGGTGCAGGTGGAAACACTGTGCCTCCTCGTACAACCAAAATTAACGACAACAAAGATTTAGAAACAAAAACACAACCAGGACAGAAAATTAAACTGTACAGAAGTCCGACAACCAGTCAACCAGACCAGTAAGAGGGACAGAGTCAGTGGCGGAGGGGAGGGATCATGGCAGGAAAAGGCAGTGGCTGGCAGACCTGGGAACACAGGTGGCGTGTGTAAACTAGGCAAAAATGGGCAGTAAGACAGACTGTGCAACCCAGGGCCTCAGTGATGGGAAATAAAGCCTAAAAGCACTGATTGAAAAGGTGCCTGGAGAGACTCCCAGCCTCACAGAGTTCGTTGGAGAGACCCACAGGGTCCTAGAACATATACAAGCCCGCCCATCCGGGAACCGGCACCAGAAGGGCCCAATTTGCTTGTAGGAAGCTGCAGAAGGGACTGAAATCCAAGAGAGAGCACAAGTGCCATTGTTCCCTCTCTGACCCTGCCGCCATATACAGCATCACAACCCAGCCACTGGGTTGCCCTGCCCTGGTGAACACCTAAGGCTCTGCCCTTCATACATAACAGGCGAGACAAGATGAAAAAAAATGGCTCAAACAGAACAAATTAAAACCCCAGAGCCAATACTTTTAAGTGACCAAGAGATAGCCAACCTATCTGTTTTGAAAAGATGCACAGTTCAAAACACTGGTGATCAGGATGCTCACAGAACTGGTTGATTTTACTCACAAATTAGAGGAACAAATGAAGGCTATGCTAAATGAAGGAAAATGCACAGGAAACCAACAGTGATGGAAAGAAAACTGGGACTCAGATGAACGGAGTGGACCAGAAGAAAGAAATAAACAGTCAACCAGAAAAGAATGAAGAAACAAGAATTCAAAAAAATGAGGAGTCTAAATAAAATTTAAAAAAAGAAAATAAAAGGTAATATTTTTGTAAGGAAAAAAAATAAAAATAAAGAAAAGAGTAAAAAATTGAAAAAAAAATGAGGAGAGGCTTAGGAAGCTCCAGGACATCTTTAAGCATTCCGACATCCGAATTACAGAGGTGCCAGAAGGGGAAGAGGAAGAGCAACAAGTGGAAAACTTATTTGAACAAATAACAAAGGAGAACTTCCCCAATCTGGCAAAGGAAATAGATTTCCAGGAAGTCCAGGAAGCTCAGAGAGTCCCAAAGAAGGTGAACCCAAAGAGGAACATACCAAGACACATCATGATTACATTAACCAAGATTAAAATAAAGGAGAGAATCCTAGAAGCAGCAAGAGATAAGGGGACAGTCATCTACAAAGGAGTTCCCATCAGACTGTCAGCTGGTTTCTCAAAAGAGACCTTACAGGGAAGAAGGGGCTGCAAAGACGTATTCCAATTCATGAAATCCAAAGACCTACAACCAAGATTGCTCTATCCAGCAAAGCTTTCATTTAGAATGGAAGGGCAGATAAAGTGCTACTCAGATAAGGTCAAGTTCAAGGAGTTCATCATCACCAAGCCTTCATTATACAAAATGTTAAAGGGAATTACCTAAGAAAAAGAAGACAAAAAAGATGAACAGTGAAAGGACAGCAAACTCACAATTACTAACAACCACTAAAACAAAAACAAACTAAGCAAACAACTAGAACAGGAAGAGAACCATAGAAATGGAGATCACATGGAGGGTTAGCAACAGGGGAGTGGGAGGAGGAGAAAGGGGGAGAAGGTACAGAGAATAAGTAGCATAGATGGTAGGTAGAAAATAGACAGGGGAGGGCAAGAGTAGTGGGGGAAATGTAGAAGCTAAAGAACTTATGACACACAGACATGAACTAAAGGGGGAGAATGTGGATGGGAGTGGGTGTGCAGGTTGGAGGGGAATGGGGGGGGAAATGGGACAACTGTAATGACATAATCAATAAAATATTTTTTAAAAAGAATAGTTAGAAAAAATTAAAATGCACATCACTTAGTAAAATTAATAAAAACACAACTCTTGACAAACATTACAATTACGCAACTGGGAAACGAAGGTTACTCCGAAACCCCTTCGCAGTACACCTGGTGGCGGCAGGATGCCAGTGCTCCGGCCCCGCCGCTCCCCTTGGTGACGAGGGCCCACTGAAGACGACCCTGGAACAGGAGGCAAGGACTCCAGGGGCAATACTAAACATAACATTTTCTAAAAAATGCCACCAAATTTCTCAATCTGAAATACTTGAAGCTTCTACCCAAAGATGTGAACGAGAATGTTCACAGCAGCTTGAATAACAATACTCAAAAACTGGGAACAACCTCAACACCCACCAACAGTGAGGTGATAAAGTGTGGTATAGTTGTATCACAGAATACACTCTGAATGAAAAAGCACCACTACTACACAGGGATCTGGATGAGTC